CGGAGGGTTATGTTTACAACATAAGCTTGTCAGCTTTGCGCTGATTGGCTAGTCGCATTTTCTCAAATCACCCAGTTATAACAATTGACGTTTTATCGTACTTACCCGCTTATAAGAACCCGGGTTCAGTTTTTTTTTCAAATTTAGCCTGAACGTGTTCTTATGTGCTTAGTGGAATTTTAGGCTACGCAGGTTCTTATTTATCCCTTATGCAATGAGAATTGATAAGGTTTTCAAACATTATTTATACCAAATTTAGAATTGTATATATGTTCGAGCTCACTACTTTTGAGTCTTTTGAGATTTTTTTAAAGCTAATTTCTGTATGAACCTGTTTCAAATTTCAGCCTAAATAGGTTCTTATGTCAATGGGGTCTGAAATGATACTTTTACGCCAACAGATACTTAAACTGCAGGTTTATATAAGCGGGTAAGTACTGATATAGTGTTGATTTTAAATTGGTAACATAATTGTAAAATTCTCAGTTCCTTTTCATCGTTTTCAAGCGTGAGGCGGGTGTGGCCAATTGTGAAGCGTGATTTTCCGAGAACTTCGAGATTGTGAGTTGCCAAACTGATTCGAGACTGAGATGATTTGCTTTACGTTTTTGCAAAGAGACTTGTAATTGCATAAAAAAATGGTACAAAAGATCTGACCAAAGCCTTACTAGACATTCATTTTGCGACAATTTTTTCTATTCAAAACGAAATGTACTTAAGGTGTTTCGATCGTAATAAATCGCGTTTCGCGCGTATTTTTAAACTCCAACTACGTCGCAAATTTCGATTACATTGCACTCAAATTTTCACAGAAGTAACAGTGATTATCGATAATTCTTGTCGATAAATTAATTTGCCAAAAAGCGAAGCCATTTGGATAAACGATGCAAAATAAAAACACCTTCATTTTTCTTCAAAATTAATTTTCTCGAAACTCATCGCAGATATTGTAATGAAATTTTCAGAATCTCTTTTTAATAACATAATTGATATACTGACGAAGTTTCAATAAAATCTTAACCTAAAATTTCGATTTGTTCGAATGTACATCATTTTGCTCAAACAACTCGAAAGTTTAGCTTAAGATTTCATTGAGTGCAATATAATCGAAATTTGCGACGTAGTTGGAGTTTAAAAATACGCGCGAAGCGCTGTTTATTACGATCGAAACACCTTAACACGATAGAATACACATCAGACTTGGACGATGTTCGAGACTCAGCCGAATTAAGACTGTATTTTTTTAAAAAACCAGAACATTATGAGACCAACGACCTAAAGAATCCAAGCCTCTGATGCCGCAGACAATATTAAATGGAAAACGCCTCGCCGAGGCTAAAAATATAATAGAAAACGTGAAAGGGGAGATAGACGCCCTATGATCACTTATCAAACGATGATTGGCTCTGTTTCGTTCATCTCTATGTTCAGTTTCAGGAAAGAATAACAGTTACAGCAGCCTACTTACCCCTTCGACAACCAAAAACAGGGTGACCAGCAAAATCAAACGGGAAAACATCTTATTATAGACAAAATTGATGTACAGCACTCCTTTCAACGTTGCAAAATAATACTGTGAACTAAGACCGAATATACATACTAGGCTTTTGTTTTGTGCCGTTTTGTATTCACGTGTTCAAACTTGTTTTTTCGTACTGAATAAGGAAGTCATACATAAGGAACTCGCCAGCTTTGTTTCTATAGATACGAAATAACTGTTTCAATATGCGCGACTTTAGACGGCCATTTCATACAGTTTGATAAGCGAGTAATTATCACAACAATTAAGATGTCGAACTTTTTAACAATTGTTTGTCACCTGCGATCTCAGCGTCTATCGAGATGTGCTTCACTCTCATTGGCTGTTTATTTTTACATTCTAATTTAATTCAAAGTGAATTTAGTTTTTTATAAAAGTAAATCAAACCAAGTGACCACCGCCAGTGACTGTCTGACATTCAATAGGACAATGCCCTCTTTCATGATTTCCATATGGAATCA